GGAGAGGAGGAAGGGAGGAAGGGAGGAAGAGGAAGGGATGGAGAGAAGTAAGAGGGACTAAGGGATGTACAAATGACAGATAGCAACAGAGAAAGCGACCAAAAAACAGATGGGCAAAGGGAGGGAGGGAGGGAGGGAGGGAGGGAGGGAGGGGGAAGGAGGGATTGTTCAAAACAAAGACCTTGTTAAAGTTATAGAGAAGCGACATGTGAGCTGAAAGAAGAGCAACAACGGAAAGGGAGGATGAAGGAAGGGATGCACAGATGTACAGATGGACAGATAGCAACAGAGAAAGAGAGACAGAAACAGAGGGAACGGTAAAGGCATTGCGGGAGGGAAGGAGTGATTATTCAAAACAAATCTAAGAGCACCTCATTGAAGTTTTAGAGAAGAGGCATGTCCGCAGAAAGGGGCGCAATAGCATCACATATGTGTGGGTGTGTGTTGTAGGATGGCACCACAACAACCCCTTTTCCACACACATGAGCAGATCCAGAATTGAAACAGCTTCACCTCTATAGCAACAACACGAAGCACACTAAGATGAGCATAGTCAAAATCGAAACAGCTTTACTTCTATATCAGACCACATGAAACACAATGAAACCAAACGTCCTTTCCTCGCTTTCTTTACTGGGGCTTTCTTTGGGGCTGCTAATATTTACAATGAAACCCCATGACGCACAATGAGACCACAAGGATCCAGATATTGCCTTCTCCTTGTACAGTCCTTTCTTTGCTTTCTTTACTTTGGCTTTCTTTGGGGCACCCCTTTTATATCTTCTTGCAGCTCCCCTTTTACTCTGCCTCTAACTTACAAGGCAGGCAATGTTGATTGTGGTTGAGCGCAAGCTGCCCACATCCCCATGTGCCGTAACGGCCCACTTGCACAATATGAGGAGGAAAAGGAGGAGGTATACTCCTGCTCATTTTTCCTCAGATCTTCTGCTTATATTGATGCTCATTCATATTTATTTAGTAGTCGTACAAGAGAACGTAGGAAGGAAAGGGGAAGGGGGTGGAGCTCTACATGAAGCGAGGGATGGGGAGGGGAGAAGGGGAAGAGGGGGAAGTGGAGCGACAAGGAATAGAACAGAAGAAAGACAAACTTCACAGGGTTCTCAATACTCACCGCTTGACCAGACTACTCTAGAATGGCACAAGAGGCCAGTCAGTGTTTGGATTGCAGGGAAATTTGAGTTGAGGAGCAGCCGTTGCCTATGGTAAATGCCCACCCCTCTGTGTGTGTGTGTGTGTGTGTGTGTACAAAGATGAGAGAGAGAGAGAGAGGGAGAGAGAGAGAGAGGGAACTTGGCTGCAAATTGGCGAAAATCTGATAGCCAAAGTGGTTAGCCGGTTAGCACCATGCAGGAAAGCCCAAGCCTCTCTCCAAGGTATGGCCTTGATCATCAACGCCTTAGTCTTTTCAACTGGGTGGAATCTTCTTTGTATTTTTCTTCTTCTTCTTCTTCTTCTTCTTCTTCTTCCTCTTCTTCTTCTTCGTCATCGTCTTCATCCATCTTGTTCTTGTTCTTCCTCGTCCTCTCCTCCTTTTTCTTTTTTTCTTTCTTTTTTTTTTTATTTTTATTTTTTTTAAACAGGTCCATATGGCCCTGGCTCCATTTCCATTCTGGGGAGCATCAGTCCGGTTCCTATTCCACCGCCAAGTCAGAATAAAATGTTACATCAGGGCACGCACTCACGCTTCCTTCTGTCTGGCCGAAGGACCCCTGAACAGCATTGATTACTCCATCATCGTAGAGGATTGACCGTCAGCTTGCCTTGCTTCCACCTTTCCTCTCAGGCCCACATCATGAGCCTGTCAGATAAAAATAAAGAACAAGAAAGGTAACAGAAGCTGCGTAGGATGCACAAACGGAAATTGGCCTTCAATATTATGTGGCCAGTGATGGATCTTGTCCGTCTGCTGGCTGGGAACTCTGCCTTCTCCACCCTGCTTCTGAGTTGTGCCAATCTTTCCACCGTATGCAAAGGTCCTTCATCTCTGCGACTTTGCCCCCTGCGAGCCACACCTTAGTGAATTTTGCCGTGATTCTTCTCTGTTGCTCTTCGTCATCTGGCATGGATCAAAGTCCTCGTCTCCGGCCATACCTTCTCCCTTGGAGTTGATAGTCCCTCGATGGTTCTGTCGCACCTTTCTTTCCATATGGACCACAGCGTTACCTTTCTGATCATTCCGAACCATGCTCTCTCTGTCGTATGGAATTGAGCTGGAATGTTAGTCCATAGAAGAAGTTGGATGGGGTGCTCAGGGAGGGGGGTCGAGAAGAGGGAATCCCCGAGATCCGAGGCCCTCGCCCAGTATTCCGTCGCCTCTCTACAGTGTAGCAGACAATGTAGCATATCTTCTGGTTCATTTTCTGAGCATACCGCACATAAACCTGAACTGTTGGGGTCGTTCTTACTTCTTCTGGTATGCAGCCACTGATTAACCGGTAGAGCCACGTAAGAGATGAGCCATTGGAGGCTTCTGATTTTGACTGGACGGACTGATTTAAATTTTTTCCATGGTATTTGTGGGATCGGACTAGCGTCCTGGCCTAATAATTTCTGCCATCTATTCTTGATCGTTGGGTCAGGATCCTTTGTCTTGAAGAGTAAGTTGTATCCCAGTTTGACTGTGTATTCCTGGATGAGGACATTCGTTTTGAATGTTCTGCTTCTATCTGGAGTCCAAGCCCACTCTGCTGGATCAAATTCCAGATCTTGAATCGCCATTATCTATTCTGAAGATTGTTTTCGGCCACGATCCCAACACTCTTACTTTTCTGAGAACAAAAGGGTTTAGGATTGTTCTTTCCACCTCCTCATTCAGGATATATGGGAGGCCTTGCGTGGAGAGGGTAATTGGAAAAGAGGTAAACACAGCCAGGGTATCCGATCCTTGTTGTTTATGGGAGAATTGATATGCCTTTGAAGGGGTTAAATCCTGCACCCTCACTCCCCATTCACCCGATTTCCAGGTTGAGGTTTCGCTCAACAGCTCCTTCCAACCTTCTGGAATGCAGTAAATGATGGATTGTAAGTTCTCGTCTCGAAGGTGACATCCTTTGGGCTTGGAGGCCAGTTCCTGTTCTGTCACCCAGTCCTTTTTCTCCTCATTCCACAGATGGCTCACTTTCCAAACTCCATTATTGATCCTCGATAGCCATCTCCTGCCTCTAGGTTTAAGGGATAGTTGGTGATCACTTTCGTCTCTCACCCACGGATTACCAAACAGGGGTTGCCTCAATATCTCATCTTTGGATTTGGGTCTACCCACCTTCGGCATGACTTCCCACCATATCCTTAGCAATGTAGTCCAATACGGTGTGGGGGGCCGGGTTTCATTTGGACCGACCCCTCTTCTCTGATTTCTGCACCCTGTACTTGGGCTCCATTCCTTGGTCATTACCCAGAACAGACCAGACATGTTTGCTGGTGAGGCTATCGGTGCTAGGCCCCTGATGCTGTCCAAGGCCAGTTTATTCCATGCCGTGCCAGGTTTAGTCG